GGTTCAGCATCCCTTCGTACCCCTTCGTGATAGATTATCGTGGAGAATAAAGCAAAAGAACTTTGTGGCTCCTACTTCAATTATCCTGTTTATTTATAACGGTGAACTTTAATAACGTAACATTATTCATCCATAATTCCTCTCTCGGGATATTCTTGTTAAATTTTTCGCGCTTTTGAAAAAAAAAAATGACATGTATTTTTTATCCTAGATATATCTATTCTTTCATTATCTACATTTTTTACATAATCGATAAATTGCAGCATAATTAAATTTATACATATGGACGATTTATATTCTACGGATAATTTATATACTGTAAAAGCAATTAAAAATAAGGTAGATCTAGATTTTTAACGGAAAACTAAATGAGAGTAGATTAAATTTATTTAAGTTTTATTTTCCTTAAAATATCAAATATCCTATGATATTCTTTCTTAAATTCAATGAACAGGAAATATCTTGGAAGATTTATTGTGTGTAGGCAATGATTAATATCGCGATAGTGAATGATTTATCGCGTAAATGCATAACACCACCTTGCGTAATTTATATACGCTCTTAGACTCAGACAAATTCGCTAACGTATTCTGTAACGCAGTAATAGATGAATATATATGATTTTCTACTCAATATATTACAACGTTACTTATGCGAAACGCGCAGCATCTGCATGCCGTTGCACGAACATAATTAAATTTGATTCTATTCTCCGACAAGACAATAGTGCCTGAAATTCAACTCGCCGATTAAATACATTTGATTAGGACCATGTATATTTTAATTGATAAAATGTTCACGATGCGTTTATATCAAACAATGGCATATGATATTTATAATAATTGGTCAATTTGAATCTGTTTCTTTTCAACGAAAAGTAAATATTATGTTTACATTCCGTTACTTATCTCATTCGATTAAGATAACTGTCATATTTTTCTGCCGTATGAAAATTGCGATTTGATTACGAAGCAGGATAGCTTCCCAGTTTTTTAAAAATAAAGTCGAGGAAATAAACTCATTCAACCGTGAAACGTGAGATGTAACGAGCATCTGGGCATCGAGATAACAAGATCGACGCGTCTTTTGAACATCTGTCAAAACAATCGATCGATATTAATACAGGCACAATCGAGCGTGAAATTTCATTAATACACGAATCATAAAATATTCCTTTTAAATATTAGAAAGAAAATAGAATAAAGCTGTGTTGATTGCTGGACCGGTTGTATACACGCACACAAGCTATACACGAATAATATTCATACGCGAGTCGAGGAACTTTACACCTTCATTATTGCCATATACGTGTATTGCGGATTTAAATTAAAAACATGTCAAAATATGATATATCATCCTTCATCGACTTGCCCCATGAAATATGGAGTTATCTTGCCGCGCAGAAAGTTGGACGATAACAAGGGACGTGAAATGTATAAATCACGTTGCAGCAAATCCGACCTCAACTCTTTCGCACATATGTATCAGCATGTCTCGGAAAATCCCGACAGATATATAATATATCCTTTATATGCGCGACGCGCGAAAATCCCATCCCATAGGAATTCCGCATTTCGGGGAAATGCGTTTAAGTTCGCTCAAACGGAAAGAGAGATTTGTCTATATGGATCGTATGAGGTGTGGCTTAATAGCGCAAATAACTTTTTTTACAAAATGTGAAAAAATTGATATGAATTTATGATGTTCTCTCAAATTTAAGAGATTTCTCATCAAATTCTTAAGGAAATGGATCGTGGATTATTTTTGCAATCTCATCCTTTAATTCCATTCAAAGTCAACGTGATTCGATAATGCGGACTGAATATAATTGACTCTCTTTTACATACTGCCTTCTATCGATCGATCCCCCTAAGAAGTTAATTGCATTACACGTGTTAATTGTCATAATTTGGAATTCAGAGCATGTCGCATAACGTCCTTTAGACGCTGAACTTGTTTCCGTATGCTGCGGATGTCATATAATGTTCGCCAGAATGTTAACACGCTAACCACCA